GCCGCCGCCTGCGTGCCCGGCGGTGGCGGCGGAGCTGGGGGCCACGAAGGTACCATGTTGTGGGCGTACATTCGGCTGTTGCGTGCAACAAAGTGGGGGAAAGGTCAGGGTCAAGAAGGTAATATACGAGGAGTCGGCTTTGTATCCTTTGTTTGTCGGAACCAAGCGCGACGAGGGCGTTGATGATGGTGTTTGTTGTCGATCGAAGATGGGGGACGTTGGGCGATGGCGGTGAGGTTGGTTGTGGAAGAAAGAAGGTTGAACAAAATGGGTGGGTGCAGCCGAATATTGAAGGGCGCGAATCAGAGTGGGTCGGGTCCAGTCACACGCCACACCCCAGGCGAAGCCCAACAACCGGATATCTCGATATTGCTTTAACCGGAATCTCTGTCACCTCCCAGGGCTGGGCTGGTGGAGCTGGCAGGGGACCCCGCACCGGGGGCAACGTACTGATCGCTAACCCAAGTGCTCAGCAGCTCTACGTCAACGGCAGGCCAAATGGTGTCTGCAGTGTTCCCGAAACATCACGGCCATCGAGGAAGTCGGGACAGCCTTCCCCCAACTATGACGAATGTTTCTTAAGCAGATCGACTTGACCACCGCTCTGCGGCCATCGTACTTGCCAGACGAGGACCTGCTCTTCGTGCAGGACAATGTGGGGTTGTATGAGGGGTGAGTCGCTCGCCTGTTGTCCCAAGTCCTGACTCCTGGCTTCGCAAACGGCGCGACGAGCGAAAGGATCCTAGGAGGCTGACCGGTTGCCTACATCAGGAAGTACAAGCTCCCGAACCAGCAGAACGGCCAGGTCTACCTGACCTCGCACAGGGTTTGTTACGTGGACAAGGCCGAACCTCGGAAACACTCGGTTGCTCTAGATCTCAAGGATGTCGAGCGCTACGAGTTCTACGTAGGTTTGCGTTTGCGCTCTTTCTCGTCTCGTGTTTGGCTGTGCTTACTCGTCTGTCCAGGCCGGGTTTCTCAAGTCATCGGCCAAGATCACACTAATTCCCAAGGCAACAAAGCGCTCTTCCCTCCAGTCGCGATCTTCAGGTGTTGCGCTCGGCAATGGCGCTTCCTCGCCGGCAACGCGAACTGACAGCCCGGTCAGGGCTCCGCCTGTAGAGCCGCCGCCAGCGAGCACGGCGACCTGGGTTTGCACCATTTGCAGCTTTTCCAACCCTGTTCCATCAAACTTCGATCCCTCAACTGCCAGTGCCCACACGCCATTGCCCCCTTGCCTGGCTTGCGGCATCAAGCCGACCTTGGCCCAGATCCTGAAAGCCGCCATCTCGAACGCGACAAGTAGGCAGCCCGGGCCGGCTCTTTATACACCTCTGCCCGTCCGGCCAAGACCTGCGTCAGAGTTCGGTGCCGCCCAGATCAATACCCCCGGATCGTCTCCTTCAACCCCCGCAAGGGGTGCGAACTCCTCTCCCCGAACCTCGGATCCGGACGCGTCTTTCCAATGCCCACGATGCACCTTTCTCAACCATCCCTCGCTGCTCTCCTGCGAGATATGCGGGGCGCCCCTGATTTCTCACGACCTTCCCCCGGAGTTCAGCCAGCAGGCCAGAACCCAAACCGATTCCCCAGGCCCGTTTCTCAGCACACCTCTTAGCGCTACAGCCCCAGGTTTAGACAGTCCTGAAAGCGTCAAGGTCTCATTTCGCGGAGGAGGAGAAAAGATCTTCTACGAGCGACTCAAAGGCTGCATGACACAGCGGAAATGGCTCCTGCACGGCGCACCACCCATTCCCAGGTCCTCGCGGTCGGATTCTCTTGGGGGAAATGGGACCGGACCAGGGACAGACTCCAGCAACGGAAGTCCTGCGGAACGGGTCAAGGTCGCCGGCATTGCCGGCCTCGAGCGCCGCGGTCAGGCAATGCGCAAGAACAACGAGCTTGTGATCGGCAGCGCCTTCGAGGACTTGGAGGCGCTCATGGCCTCAGCCAAGGATATCGTTGCGCTTGCGGAGAGGTTTGCGCGTCAGGTCCAGCCCGGTGGCGCTGGCGGAAGCGCAAGTGAGACTGCGTTGCTGGCCGAGTCGGCCAGTCAGCTAGGATTGATCACCACCAAGGACATTGTCGGCACCAGCGGCGGGGGTGACTCTCTCTACCTGTCGGAACTGGCTCGCAACCTTGCCGAGTTCCTGACCGACGACCGGCGAGGTGTTCTCAAGCGAGCCGGCGGTATCATGTCCCTCGTGGATCTTTGGGCTGTCTTCAACCGCGCCCGTGGGGGTGTGGAGCTCGTAAGCCCCGCTGACTTTGAGAAGGCGGCGAACCTGTGGGAGAAGCTGGGGCTGCCGGTACGGCTCCGCACCTTCAAGTCCGGCGTCAAGGTCGTACAGGGTCGGGATCGAACAGACGACACGACCATCAAGGCGCTTCTGGCATGGCTGAAGGATCTGCATGAGTTCCCGCCAGATCGCGAGGTAACCTGGGACTGGCACGAGTTCGGCCGGGGCGTGACAGCGAGGGATGTTGCAGAGAGGTTCGGCTGGAGCATTGGCGTTGCGGAGGAAGAGCTAGAAATGGCTGAGGAGAAGGGCGTCCTTTGCCGGGAAGAGGGAATCGAGGGTTTGAGGTTTTGGGAGAATTTCATTGATACGGGGGAGGGCAAGTCGATGCCCAACCCGGCCAAGGAGTCACACGAGAAGATTATGAGGGCGCTCAAAGACGGAGGATTCTTATGACGGGGTGCTCTGGCGGAGTTGAGGAGCGTTTAGATAGGATACATAGAGGGTTGCATAGCTCGATCACGCGGCGTGCTGTTTCTCTGCCTCTTACACGTGCAGTCATCCAGGCACTACTTGAAGTCCAACACGTTCATACACATTACCCTACATCTATGATCTATCAGACGGGTGAGATGTCCGTCCGTCAGTCTATACCTACAGCCCGCAGGCGAATCCGTAACCCATATCCACGCCGACCAAACCTAAATCTTACACCCGAACGCCATCATGTTTTACTCCCTCTGAAATCTCTTTCCCGACAAACAACAAATCCATCACCACCGGGACGTACCTAGCGGATGGATAGATACCAAAGAAGATGAACAGCAACAAAGACGATGCTATGCTCGCTGCGGGGAGAAGAAAAAAAAATCACACTTGGTCATGGTTCACGTTCAAATCTCCATCCCCTTCACTCCCATCCTATCCCATCAACTAAACCCCCCCATCAACGCCCCTCTCATCTTCATATTCACCACCCCTCCCACCCCAAACGCCGGCACAATCCGACACACCCTCGCCGCCGTGCTGACCGCCCAATTCCTTCCAACCTGGTTCCACCTCTCCCTCATCCCGGGCCCCCCGTCCCGCGCGCTGTACGGCCGGTTGTAAATGTCCAGCCCCAGCAGGTGCACCGGCGTACTAACCAGCTGCACCACCGCCGGCGCCGCAAACTGCGCGATCGTTGCGCCCGACGCATACCGCTGGACTTCGACGGATAACCTCTCCGTCAGCACCGGGCCGAGCAAGTGCGGGACGTTAAAGGACGCAAAGATGGTCATGCAGTCTCGCGCCGCGAAGAGAAGGTACGTCGGCAGCGCGACGGGGCGCGGGGGCCCGGAACCTGGCGGCCCGAAGAGGCGCGTGAAGACTTGGTCTTTGTAGATGCACATGGAGATGTTGGCGGCGGAGGAGGCGGCGAACTTGGCGGTGCCGGAGGTGACGGTCGCGGCGGGGCGGTTGGTCAGGGTCGAGGAGAGGGTGTCGAGGGTGTTGGCGGTGAGGTAGGTGCCGCCGTAGAGGGCGAAGATGAGGGCGAAGGGCTTGGAGAGGATGGTGCGGTGCGGGCGCAGGAGGAGGGAGGTCAGGCTGGCGCGGAGGGAGGCGCTGAGGGTGCGGCGGCCGGAGGCGTTCTCCATGATGGAGCTGGGGTGTGGGAATCTGGGGTTAGTTGATGGGTTCCGTTGGGGTGGGTGGGATGCCCTGGGGAGGGGGGGAAACACGTGGGGGATGGGAAAGGGTGCGTACCGGTCGATGATGGAGATGATGGGGGCCACGAGTACGGCTGCGGAGGCCGCGCTGACCGCGTCGGCGCCGAGTCGCCATGACAGGTTTTTGGTGTTCCATTGGGGGGGAGGTTTGTCCATGGCTGCTGCTGCGACGCCGGGCTTGGGTTTCGCGACGGCTGCGAGGGTCGGCGCTTTCGCGGCCTCGAGGTTGAGGTTGGGAGGCGGTCGTGGGGCTTCCAACCCGTTTACTCCGCCTTCCTTCATCTCGGAGTCGCACGCAAAGCTGCGCGCAGAGTCGAGGGCGTGGTGAAGGGCGAGTTTGTTGTTGTTGCGCGGAGGGCGCAAAGCGCAGGCAGGAAATCGTGGAGGCTCCGTTCGGAGAGAGCGCCAAGCACAATGCGAATCGACTGGTTTCTTCGTCGTGCTTTGGCCCGGACCGGGGCAAGCAAGCAGATTTGTTCAAACCGCAGATCTTGTCATGATGGAAAATGCGGCGGATGGCATGCGTGCTGTTTGCATTGAGCTCTCTCTATCATACTCTATTTGCCTCCATTGATGGACCTCGGAGCTCAGAGTTGAAGGGCGATTGCTGCAGCTTGAGCTTGGAGAGCTCTCCAAATTTACAGGCTGATTTGGGAGCTGGACCTCCGCCGAGATCGGAGATAGGCTATCAGCGCCCCCAGCTGCTTGGAAGCCCCTGAAGCTACCCCCTGCCGGATCATCAGCTCCCGAGTCAGTGCAACGCTGCACGTCACAGCAAGACAACAATTGCGCCAGAGAGCTCCGCGCCGTCTCAATGCTCGCTCTTTGAGGCCAGTGTACTAACTATGTGGCTATGCATAAATATTTGCAGATGAACAATTGCTCTCTTGAAGTACCCTAAAGGGCGAGTATCTCTACAGCTAGGCATCCAAGAACGTTCCTTCCTCCAGAGACAAAATAGGTTGTTGGCTAGTGGGTGACCTCGAGAACAGGTGGCTCGAGAGACAAAACCGGCAAAAAAACGAGTTGGAGACGAATCTCCTTCAAGACACTCCCTCGGTAAGGGTCGAACTTACAGCCTCCAGATGCCTGCTTCAACAAAGTGAATCGTAACAGTCTGACGCGCTAGCCAATTGCGCCACGAGGGATGAGCTTGTTTGGCATCGGATGCCAGTTGTTGGAACGGTGGGCCGAGTTTGGCATATATCAAGTTTGTGTGCCGAGGTTGTGGGCCCTCCGGACAGACCCTTGTGGGTCGAGGGTCGTTGGAAGGGTTGGGGTTGGGGGTTCAGAGACAGCTTCAAAGTGACCCCCCTCTCATCGTGAGCCAGGCCTTGGCTTCGTCTATGCCCCGAGTGGCAGAGAAGATAATCTTGGCCCAGGCATCCATGTCGTCAGCTTGTCCGTCGGCCAGAAGCTCGGAAAAGCTAAAGAAGATTGTCAGCGCAGTTCCTATTCCGCCCTTCCGCTGTAGCATCCACAACAACAATGACGTACTCTGCGTTCTTGATCACAAAATGCCGCTTCGTTTTCCACGCCGCAGCAAAATCGACAAAGTCTTTTGCCATCCACAGATGGGCAGAGGCCGTGAAAGAGTGGAAGAGCCCCAGCTTGCCGTCACATCTCCCCCTCGGATCAGCCCCGTGCTCGCCTTTCGTTATCTCGTAGATCCGCAGGAAGAAGAAAGTCATCAAAAATGTCCGACGGGCCGACTCTTGGAATACCCAGGTCTCCCAAAAGGCGCGGATATCCTGAGGCGCGCAGTGGTGGATGGCCACCTCGGGCCCCGGCGCAGACGGCATGGGCACTCCGGGCAGGGTGAACCCCGAGTTGTCAAAAGTGCCTTCGGCAAAGGCGATGAAGGCCATCAGGGAGAGACCCGACTCTTCCATCGCACGCATGCCGCGCTCGGCTCCTGCGCGTAGACTAATGTCTCCGTCGAAGAAGCGGATGATCTGGTAAAGGAGAATGGCTTGCGCCCGGGCAAGAGCCTCAAGCGGGGTGTTTGGGCTTGGGTCAGATACAAGCTCCTCTGCTCTCGACTGGATCAAACGCAAGACCATAAGGCTATTTGCTGGCGTTTTGTTTATGTAGAGGGCGCAAAACGCTTGGGCATCTGAAAGCTGGTGTTAGTTGACAGCAGGACCCCTAAACGCTAGTGTTAAGTGTTGGGGGATACGTTGGTACTGTACCCTGCATGGCCCGTGGCATCTCCCGCTCGTATAAATGTGGGTGGCTCCATGGGGTCGAGCACTCCAAAACCATCTGGTTGACAGCGAAGCTGATGGTGTCGAGGGCCCATTGCAACCGGACCTTCATCGCGTAGGTTATTCTGTCTGCAACCTCAATCGTGGGCCGCGCAGGCGGGGAGACAGCCAGTGATTCATTGCTTCCGCTGCTGCTCGCGTGCGGTACTGGGACTACTCCAGAGTCAGGTGGCTGGATGTAGTTAGCCTGGCCGGTAGTGGGCGTGCTTCCCTCCGACTGTGACTGGGGAGTATCCTCTGCCGATGAGCTATCGAATGGCATCTGCAGAGCTATGGGAGAGAGCTCGCTCGGCAGCACAAACAACGGGGGAGTCTCTGCTGGCGGGGTGTGAATGGTGCCGCTACATGGGGTAGGTGCGTTTACCAGGCGTTCGGCACCAGGTGTGGCCGTAGTGAGCTTGGGAGACGAGTGTTCAGGCGAGTAGCGCTTAGGTCTGGAGCCAGCAGGGTACTTGCACTCTAGCCGTCGCTGTTGGCAGCGTTGGCAGGACGGGGCGTCCTGGCTGCACCGTCGCTTCGCTTTGATGCACGCCGCGCACGATTTTCGCCGCGGTGGGGGGTCCACCCGTTCGACTGCAGACCAGGACGGCGGCATTCCGACGGGTTGGGTCGTGAATGTGTCAAGTCAAGACACCAACAGTGGAGGGCCAGAGCAGTTGAATGGTGCGAGCAGTGGACGCTGTGTCCAACACTGAACAGAGCCCTTCAGCGAATACTGCTCTCGCTTGCAACTCGCTCAGAGGTACCAGATAGCAGAGATGGCTTACAAACTGAAACGCACTATTGAATGAAAGAATATCTGTTGAAGACGAGAGTCGTGGAGAAGGATCGCAGCGGGCGGAACTCCGCCAACCAAGTCGAAATAGGCAATTGCACAGTGTAAACTGGAGTTCCGCACGGCTGCCCCTGATGTCCTTGAGATCCATGCTCCGTACTGGCTGGAGCCAATCCAAACAACCATCCCAGGCAAATACGGCAGACACGAGAGCCACGAGACGTGACCATGGCCGTGACAGCTTTGGTGACAATCCTTCAGCTCTGCCATCTGGTTGCTGGCCTCTCATGCCTTGGCAACGGAGTGGTCTCTCTCAGAGGAAGCAAGCGGGTTGGCGAAAGTTTTGAATGGAACCTAGGGATTCAAGGTGCCCAATGATGATACCCGAGTCAGAGTTGAGTAGTCGAGTTTGATTTAGAAATCTGAATATCGTACATCACAGGGCTGGGCTCTCACCCTCGGCGGAACTCAGCTATGAGTTATCTTGTGCCCGCCCAGCACCCCCTGGACGCTCCCTCCAACGATTCCGTCCTTGGTGAACTGTCTGCCAACAAATCCATCCTTGGCCAGAGGGCCTCCAATGCTCTGTCCAATGCCTCCGACAGCGCCATTTTCTACCAAGCGATCATCATTCAGCCGGGACCCAACGCGAGAAGCTCGGCATCTCCGTATCCATACCAGTGAACTGCTTGCCAATGGCCCCCTCGTGGTCAAAAACCTTGGGCTTGTCAATGCCCAGCTTGGCATTTGCGGGCGTGCGAACCATTCCTTGCATTCCGCCCGTCTCCTTGGGGCCGACATGAGAGCGTTGTGCTTCGCGCGAGACTCGGCTTGGATGATTGTTCATGGTATTGCGCGGGTTGTGTGTTGGGAGACAAGAAATGAGAGTGATTGCAGGTCCCGAAGTGGATGTCGATACATGCACGATTCGGTTGTCTCAAAGAGAGGCAGACGATACTGATATACGAAAGAGCGGGAAGGGCTGTGACGAAATGCACTCGCCATGACCAAGTGTGATGTCACGGAAACGACTGGTGCTGGTTTTCGTCTGAATGTATCAGTATCCACAGTTTCAGCGCAGCAATGGTCATTCCCGTGCTTCAATGAGTATCAATGTTGTTTGGGAAAAAAAAAAACAAATCTTTCGCTGGCGATTGGTGGTGCTTGGATGTTGGCTAGGGGTCAGGTAGCCCTGAGGTGCTCGCCAAGCTAGGGAAGGAGCATTCTGCCGTGAACATGAATACCCCGCACAAAATCGACCGCGGCTTGCAAATCTCCAAGATGATTCCGGATTTTTTTGCCAATCGGGCCTTCAAACCAATGGCGGCTCAACGTCTCGCCGACATTCTGCATGCTTATACTGGGCAGGTTTAGCAACTTCCTTTCTCAGCCAGCCTTCCCGGACCTCGATCACATACTGCGCAGAGAATCAAGATATATATCGCCCACGCGTCCCTTCATCTTGATGTATGCCGCCCCTCACGATCGGTGTGTGTCTGTTTGCTTGTTTCTCACGTATTAACCTCATGGCAGGTCGGACTTTGGTGCTGATCCTCGCGGCGCAGGTGGTGGTTGCAATCCTTCCAGACGCACTCCCCGTGATGCTCGAGACAAAAGTGGAAGTGACGTCGCGTCTTTCAAACATCCACATTTCTCACAGTGAACTCGCCATTGGACCCCTTACCATCACTTACGGATCTTGTACGTCCACTTCGCATCACCATGCCCACCACACCGTCGCCACCGTTCGGCCTCAGCCGGAAACGGACTCACGCCTCGTCTGGATTCTTCCCGAGGATGTCGAGTCAGGGGGTTGCCTCTCGGCTTGGGACAACTACGGTGTTCTCAACGGACGAAGCGAGCCGCAGAACTTTAGGAAGCAGCTGCGCCGCCGGGACCCAATTCTTATGACTGAAGATCGCGGGATCGATGTGCTTGGGCCTTGGTTCGACGGTGTTGCGCTGCTCAAAGACAAAGAGCCCAGCCTCGTCGACGTGGGCGGTGCCAAGTCCAAGTCAGTCGCCATTGTGGGTGCTGGTATGTCCGGCCTGATGACATATCTCGTCCTCTCTCAGGCTGGGCTCACTAATATCTCCATCATCGAGTCGACGCAGCGGCTAGGCGGCAGAGTCCGTACTGAATACCTCTCAGGCGGACCGTTTGATTACTCCTACCAGGAAATGGGCCCGATGAGGTTTCCCACCACTTACACGGACCCCGAGACTAACCAAACGCTGAACATCTCAGACCACCAGCTGGTATTTTCACTGGCCGAGGAGATGAACAGACTCAATGCAGGAAAGAAGAATCTTTCCGTCGACTTCATCCCCTGGATCCAGTGGAACCCCAATGGATTGGTGTATCGCGGGGGCTTCAAGCTCGATACAGGGTTTCCCCCGACTGTCGCCGAAATGGCTGCGAATGCATCCCTGAACCCGCATGCTCCGCCAGTAGTGCTCGACGCCGACACCCAGGCCCTCCAAGCTGCTGTGGCCCCGTTTATCTCCAACGCTAGCTTTGCCTTGGACATGGTTAAAAACATGTTCAAGGCACACAAGGACTGGATCACCAACGGCCTCGGCGGTCTAGGTGGTGACAACTGGTCCGAGTTCGCCTTTATGGCCAACTACCTCAACGGCACCCTCAACTCAACCGACATGCTCAGCGCCTCAGCCGCCGACTCGTTCTGGGAGCTTCTCACCGCCGTCACCTACTTCTCCGCTTCCAGTTTCCGCACCATCGACGGCGGCCTCAACCGTCTGCCCCTCTCCTTCCACCCACACGTCTCCAACATCACCACTTTTAACCGCAAAGTCGAACGCATCACCCTCTCCCCTGCCGCCGTCCACCTCCACTGGCGCGACACCAACACCCCATCCCAGCACCTCCAATCCTTCTCTTACGACTACGCCATCATATCCGCCCCCTTCTCCTCCGTCCGCCGCTGGCGTCTTCCCCCATCCCTCCCCACCACCCTCCTCAACGCCATCAATAACCTCCCCTACATGACCGGCTGCAAAGTTGCCCTCGAATTCCGCTCCCGCTTCTGGGAGCACTTCCCCACCCCCATCCTCGGCGGCTGCAGCACCACCACCGACATCCCCGG